AAACATTTCTCTATATAAAATCCTCTGTCAGCATAATGCTTCTTTCCACTTGTGATCACAATAGCACCATTTATCTAAATAGAAGAAGGCACAGCACTTTGGATTAAGAAAAGGCTGTAATTTAGCTATGGCCTCTGCTGACTGACTGAAAGCAAAGGCAACAAATAATGGCGATTCAATCATTACTACAGCGATCCTCACAGATGTCAGGCTCATGAGCACATAACACGTACACAGGAGTTTTATACACATGGGCATCGGGTCACCTCCCACACCACACCAAACCAGAAGGCTTTGCACTGTGAGAAAAATCACACTACCTGGAACAGGCAGTTCCTTAGATTAAGTATCAGAGGCATCAAAAAACAAAACGAAATGAAAAAAGCCCACATATATGGCTTCTAAAACAAAGAAACGAAAAAGCCCAAATAAATACTTTTGCAAGTCTACACCTAAATAGTATACTATCGTGCTATACTCTCTCCTCGTAGAGCACATCAACCACGTGAATTGCAACACTTAACGTGAACTGCAACACTTAAATTCATTCCACATCAAGGCAACAGTTAAGTTTACACTAACAGAAAGAGGAAATTATCTGTACAGTACAAGCAAAAGAGAACATGCTGAAGGGCATGCAAAAAATAAGGATGGGGATGTTCCAGTAAAGAGACTAAAAAGAACAGGTAGGAAATCCATTTTGATTCAAGTCTGGCCATGAAGAAGCATTCCATTTTTAAATTTCTGCCTGAATTAATGATTTTTCAAAGGTGACTACCTCCTTTAAAAAAAGCAAGAATCAATCTGTGGGAGGCGTGGTATGTGTTTTCTTTATATTGGAGCAATATCTCCACCCTTCATTTGATTTAAGAATCACAGATGTTATAAATCACTATTAATTGATGGAAGAAGGCTGGAGCTTTCAGGCATGTTGTGGCAAATAAATAAATTTGTTGCTAAGTATTTCCTGAATATGACAGTTCTAGAGAAAGGTTACAATTTACTAAACCTGAAAATTTTCATAAGTTTGACAATGAAAGAAGGTGAAATAGAATAAAATCTAATAGGAGGATCACCAGGATATAAAAAGGAAGAATAAAAGTATTTTCTAATGAATATCAAGTTTTAAGACAGAAGAAGAGAAAATGGGTAGACAATTCAAAATATGAAATGTCCTCAATTTTCAATCTCCAATTACAGAAAGTGAGCAAGACTAAAAAGAACCCTAGGACTGAGCAACTATATTTAAATTGGTCAAATTCAACTTCTGGCTAATTTCTGATAGGTTGGATCACCTAAGAGAAAATCACAATGGAAAAATATCTCTGGGGAAAGAACAAATGTAAAGTCAGAGATGTCTGTTTTAGTAGAAGGTGCCAAAGAGGCTCAACAGAATATAATTTTTTTTGTGGAAGTCACTGCCTTGGCTTAGAGATCAGCTTTTAACATCTCTACCTAAGTCCATTTGGAATTTCATTTGGCTCAAAGTTCTCAACTGTAGCTGCAAAATTAAAATAGGCTGGGTAACTTTAAAAACAGCAACGTTTAGGTCCTGCCTCCCAGAAGTTTTGCTTAATTGCTCTTAGGCCCATGTATTGATAGTATATATTTTTAATGGTACTAATGTGGGACTAATTATGCACCTAGTTTAGAACCACAAAGAGGTTAGTAGATGACAGGCAATACTTTATTAATGGCACACTACTGACCTCTATAGGTGAGGTTCTGTTAGAAACTGATAATAAAAGCAGCAGCAAGTCTAGATGCCTGGTTGATACCCTTCCTGAAATGACCACTGATCTAACTTAAGGGCTGCTTACCAAACCACCACACAATTCTAACCTTGGCCATATTTTATTTCATTTTATTTTTTTGGCTACCGGCCAGTAGGGGGTATCCGAACCCTTAACCTTGGTGTTACAACACCACACTCTAACCAACTGAGCTAACCAGCCAGCCCTGATCGTATTTTAAATGGGGGTCGGGGTCAAATTCTACTACTCCTAGCAACATTATTCTCCCTAGTTGGTAAAAGAAAGAACTTTAACAAAATAATTTCACAAGTTTCTTGCCCGTCTTCAATTAACTGGGGTAGGGAAGGAACCCTCTTTCCAGGAGTATGTTCACTACTGAAGTCAACAGAAAAGAAGCATCTGAGTTTACCAGTAGTTCAAACACCAAACTGAAGTGGTTATTCATAGAGGTCACAGTTTTTCCATGTGCTTAACTATGCAAAATGTGGTCCATAAACCAAGCAGCTTCAGCATCACCTGGGAGCTTGCAAGAAATGCAGATTCCTAGGACTCACCACAGACCAACTAAGTCAGAATCTCTCTTGAACAAATCTCTAGCAGATTCACACACACATTACAGTTTGTTTTGAGAAGCACTGCTATAAGGCAAGGATGTATTCAAGAAATGGCACTATCTATATAGATTAAGTGACAACTTTAAGGATTATTTTCCTCTTTAAGTTAGATAATTTGCACAAGAACAATAAAAGTGTTTAAAAAATGGCATAGTCCACTGCTGCTTTAGAAACTCATCTTCCACACAGCCAGATTTAGGCCTTCCTTGTGATGTTCTCATAAAAGAAATCTTGGTTCTCTAAGTGGGTATATATTTAACCACGTACAGATCCAAAGCAAAAATAAGGGCTTTTATTCCTTTCTTTTTGATTTCTGGAATACAGTTATATATCAGAATAAGCTAAAGAAAACTGTACTGTAAACACTTTCTGGGGCTGTAACACCAAGGATACCATTTTAAATCCCAAAGTCAGGAAAAGCTAAAATTTAGATTTAAACAGGAACAATATTGGGCCTACCTAGCAAAGACTGTATAATATTTAGATATCTAACTGGAAAAACATCTTATTTTCCCATCCTAAGAAGAATATCCATTACAAAAAAAGAAAAAGGAAAATAGCCCACTGTACAACTTTGTGGTTGGCCAAGCAAGTTCTAACAGCTTTTCTATCTGAAGCAATACTTGCGGGAATTCTAATGGATGACTGGATAGCTATATAAAATATAAGGGCAAAACTCACCAGTTTGGGGGGCCAGCAAAAGCTAATACAAAGTCAGATAGAAATAACATATCTCTTTCTTTCTATGCTAAAGTGGGTCAAGAAACAAGAGTGTGGAATCTTGGGCCTGGCAACACAAAAAATACAGGACCTCTTTCTCTGCTCCATCCCTCAAACTTAATTTTTTTGTCACTCTTAGGTTCAATGAATCCACCATTTAGTAAGCCACCAGGGAAAGTAGTAAGTAGGCTTGTTAAAGTATAAACGTGAGAAAGATGCAATATTTAACTTGTGGTTGATGTGTCAATAGAATAGAAGAGAGCTATTTTAATTTTATAAGGGCTTCTTGGAAGCCTCCATGAATATTTAAATATTTTTCTGTCAGTCTCCTGAGTCTATAAAGAGGCTGTACAGCAATGCAGAATGATCATGAGGAAGCTATTCTGTTTACATAATCGGTCAACCCCATTTATTAAAGCTATAAATATGAAAAGCAAATGCTTATATTCTCAAGAAAGACAACAGGAGTGCTCACTTGCTTTAAAACAAGCTGTAGTCCATGGCTTGGTCAGTGTTAGATTCTGAAAGCAGTGACTTTCCATTAGTAAAATGAACAACCCACAGAGATTTAACCATAATCCTATTTCCTTAGACTCTGTGAGCCAAAAAGTAAATGTACCTGTATTGGCTGGCATAAACATCAGGCAAAATACTGCTCATAAAGAGAAAAGAAGATACCAGTGTATGTAGCAGAGAATGAGGCTATTTTATGTAATCGCTGAGAACACATAATTTTATATCTATATATATCTGCCTTCTAATGATGTTGGGAAATTAATCATTTGTGGAGCATCTTTACAGTCATAAATTGACAAACATCTCATTTGCAAATGTTTAGCTAAAAGAGCCTCTCTAATTCCACCAAAGTTAAGTATCTAGTTTGCAGAGAGCCACATGACAAGAACTGTTATTTTTCTGGCCTTCTTTCCAAAGATTGAAGGTCACCCTTAATATTTCTCATTTATCTTGTACAGCAACAAAAAAATAATTTTGGTTCACATTGGTGGCACATATTCACAGACATTCTGGACTTTGGAGCCTTTTAGTATTAGAATCCTGGAAGCTAATTAAATTGGAAGTATGACAGGGTGGAGGAGATAGGGAAGAAGGGGAAAAAAGAATCAATTAAGCGGTCCCTCCCAACTGTAATAAAGATACACTGTATACAAAAATGGCTCTAATGGCCGCCTCAAAACCTTTCAGAATTAGGACATAAGCCAATAAAATATAAAAAAAAGTCAAAGGGGGCCGGCCTGGTGGCGCACTGGATAAGTGCGCCGCTTGGGAAGCGCAGCGGTGCTCCCGCCCGAGGGTTCGGATCCCACATACAGACCGGTTCCCGCTCACTGGCTGAGCGAGGCGCGGGAGCAGCACCGAGGGTTGCAATCCCGTTGCCGGTCCCCGGTCCGGTATGGGGGCAACACTGAGGGTTGCGATCCGTTGCCGGACACGGAAAAAGACAAAAGACAAAAAAAAAAAAAAAAAAAAAAAGTCAAAGGTTTGAAAGCCTCGAAATAGGATGAAGTTCTGTGCAAGGCCACTTTAATGCTGTTCAGGTCAAAAGAATTTTCAGGGGCTATCCAGAGTTAAGAAGCAAGAGCAATAATAAACTCTGGAAAGAATACTAAATAAACATTCAGATTGCTGAACAATAGGTTGGTTAAATATCAAAAGTTCTACTTACAGACAGGTCAACAAAATACTCCTGTACGCTTGCAGACATACCCCATTACTGATGATGAACAGTATTATAATTAACTCTCTAAAGACAAATAATCCATCCTGTCCTTTATCTAAGGACATTACTGCTCATCGAGGAAAGGTCTAGTTCTAAAAAGCTGAATAATTTAAAGTTCTCTAGCATATCAAGAACTAAAAATAGCCAAAATAAAGGGAGAAGAAAGATGCTTACCAGACTATCCAGTCCTCCTCCCAAGAGATCCACTGCTCCCATCTGCATGGAGGATACCTGTGGCACATTGACTGGTGGACCAAGGTCAAGGTTTAAAAGATCCCCCAGAAGGTCACCCTGAGAGGGGATAACCTGAGGCTGTTCCAGGTTGGCTGCAGTGGTGGTGCCAACAGGGCTGTCACCCGCATCAGTGCTGCAGTCACATACACGCAAAGACAAAAGAGAAAGTCAGTTTCACCTAGAACATAACAAGGCAAGTGAATGTCAGATATATAACTATAAAATACAGGAGGAGAAAATCCTCTTATTATATAACCATTGGCTGATGTTCATGAAGAGATGATAGCAATTCTAGTTTTTATCAAAATACAGTTGCTAAAATGAAAATAAACCTATATTAGGTAATCTCATCAGTCACTCAATTTTAATTGAGCATCTATTCTATGAGGAAGCACTGTAAGGAGAATTCTATGGTTCTCTGTAGAAACAGTAAGAGGAAATATACAGTTCCTGCCCTCAAACATTACAAAATGGCAACAAATATTCGTATAACTTCGTATAATGTATGCTATACGAAGTTATTACGCAGTTCCTGCCCTCAAACAGCTTACCCTCTAACAAAAAAAACCCCAGCATTTGCAAAACAACTGAAAAGTAAGTTTACTGTAATAGCAAAAACAAGTATTGTGGGTGTCTGCATACTGACAGGATATACCATTGCTGGGAATATACCCAGAGGAATGGAAATCATCATACCGAATGGATACTTGTACTCCAATGTTTATTGCAGCACTATTTACAATAGCTAAGAGTGGGAACCTGCCCAAATGTTCATCATCAGATGAATGGATAAGGAAACTGGGGTGTATCTACACAATGGAATTCTACTCTGCTATAAAAAGAATGAAATATTACCATTTGCAACAACATGGATG